AGCATAGCCTGAGGGAATTTTGGGCAGCCCTAGGTGTCCAAATTCATAGAACTGAGCACACACACACACACACACACACACGAGTCATTTTTTACCCTATGTTAATACAAAAATAACAATTTAAAAATAGAACAGAAATATTTTAGCAAAATGTATTTTGACTTTTTGCTGATTTGATAAGATTCAGTCACTCATCCCCGGATCCTGCTACTCAGTCGCCCATGAGCCTGCCGCACTGGCATCCAGTAGGAGTTGTTACAAACACAGGTTTATCCGGACCAACACCTGAGTCAAATCTGCATTTTCCTCAAATCCCCAGCTGATTCCCGTGCATGTGAAAGCTGAAGGCAGTCTGCTTGGGAATCACAAAGACCCGACTCAGAGCACCTTCTGAAGCCTCAGTCTCCTGCGAAGCCCAGAAGCCCACGGTGGTGAGCCTCCCTGTCTGAAGTTCCTCGAGGCCGTTGGTTGGGGGGTTAGCATCTTTCCCTTAAATGCACTGTTTTTCCGCACCGAANTGCGAAGCCCAGAAGCCCACGGTGGTGAGCCTCCCTGTCTGAAGTTCCTCGAGGCCGTTGGTTGGGGGGTTAGCATCTTTCCCTTAAATGCACTGTTTTTCTGCACCGAATCTCATCTCCTCAGAGCCTGGGTAAGTGAACACTGGCACTGATTTCTGGTTTCCACACTGAGTTTAGCCTGTTTTGAACGTATCATCTAATTATATAAATTAGATGTGAAAAGCCCCATTGACACGTCTAAGTCGTTTCCAAGCCGACGCAAGGCAAGGGGTTCAGAAGGGAAGATGAATTTCAGAGGCTGAAAAAGACAGGTGTGCAAGGAGCACAGCCACCTCACTTCCCCCAGGAGGTGCAAGGTGAACTCGCTTCCCCGGCACACTCACATTCGCACCCATTACCTTGGAGATGAATCTGCCGCTGACTTGATGGTAGGAGGGCGGGAAGGGCAGCTCTGGGGCTTCCGAAGGCCACGCCTGGTGCTGAGGCCTCAGGGTTCAGCCCTTTATATGTGGCGCGGAGGAGCTGCAGAGATGCCTCAGCGGGTCAAGGTCCATGCGCCGAATTAGGATAGGAATCACAGAGGTCTCGTTCCAGGGACATGGTGGCCTCCTTCCTGGTGAAAAATAGCCCCTGTGCCCTGCTCCCCTGCCCACCCCAGGGCAGGAGAGCTCTGCTCTGGCAGAACCTGCAGGGGCCATGACTTGGCTGGAGCCCGTTATTGTTCAGAACAAGCTCTGGATTATCCGGGAGCACGAACCTGCTGGGCCTCAGGCAAAGCCGCCTCTACCCCTCGGGGCAAAGGAGCCTTGGATGGTGTGACAAGTCACACTTCGGAGTCACTTTACAGGATGACTTAGAGAGGCCTGTTGTCCTTTGGAGCCGCTAATCCCGGCGTGGAGGGTGGTGAAGACCTTTCACAGTTTGCTCAGTTCTCCTGCAGCAGGAGCGGGGACTGGTCATGGTCACTGTCTCCCAGTGAACGGTGACTGTCTCCCTGGAAACAGTCATCAGACTAAGAAGGGCTTCTCGGTTGAAAGCAACATTCAAGCCATTTCACAGAGCGTGGTGCTCTTGGCTTAACATCTGGGATGGCCCTCTGTCTGAGACAGTCAGGTTGTCGTCCTGCTGGGCCAGGCTCGAAACGCTGGTGC